TAGCATATTGGGTACCTACAGACCTGGGGAGTTCATCTTTCTGTGTCTTATCTTTTTGCCTTTTCATACTGTTCATGGGGTTCTCAAGGAAAGAATACTGAAGTGGTTTACCATTCCCTTCTCCAGTGGACCACATTTTGTCAGAACTCTCCACCATGACCCATCCATCTTGGGTCATTTTTCACACTGACTGCATCAATTTACATTGCCACTAACAGTGTATAAGGCTTCCCTTTTCTCCACATTTTCACCAACATTTGTTGTTTGTATTCTTTCTAATGATGACCATTCTGACAGATATGAGGTGATACCTCATTGTCGTTTTAATTTGAATTTCTCTGACAGTTAACAATTGAGTATATTTTCATGGGCCCATTGGCCATCTGTGTTTCCTCTTAGGAAAAATACATGTTTAGATCTTCTGCCCAATTTTTAATTGCATTGCTTTTTTGATATTGAGTTATACAAACTGTTTATATATTTGGGATATTAACCCCTTATCAATCATATCCTTTTAAAATATTTTCTTCAATTCAGTAGGTTGTCTTTTCATTTTTTCGATGGTTTCCTTTGCTGTGCAAAAGCTTTTAAGTTTAATTAGGTCCCATCTGTTTATTTTTACTTTTATTTTCTTTGTTTTAGGAGACAGATCAAAAAAGAATATTGCTAGGATTTTTGTCAAGGAGCGTTCTGCCTGTGTTTTCCTCTAGGAGTTTTATGGTTTCTGGTCTTACATTTAGATCTTTAGTGCATTTTAGTTTATTTTCATATATGGTGTCACACTGAACTTCCCACGTGAGCTGCCCTCTTGTACATGCTCAGGGCCATTCTTTCAATGTCTCCATCCTCTCTTCATCTCAGGCATTCCTTCCTGTCTTCCAGATTTTATCTTAAAGTCAGCTCATCCATTTTAAAGCCACCAGCTTCCTCTGCTTCCTCCAAGTCATGATAAGGCCCCTGCTATATATTCTCATTTTATTATGTCTTCCCCTTTACAACAATCAGTAATTTCTGTGTTTATTCAAATGCTTTTCTCTGTTGCTAGTTATTAATCTCTATTAATTATTTTCTCATTGTTATGGCCCCAGCCTGTACAGAGTACCAGGCCCTCATTAAATAAGTGTGTAATGAATGGATGGATGGATGGATGATTCATAATGGGCAGTTCCTGTGAGCTGGATGTGGTTCCAGTTGCAGAGATAAGGAGGTGATTAACTCCTGCCCTGGCATCACTCACTGTCTGGCATGGAAATTCCTCTTCAAACAGATAAACTAGCTTCCCTCTTGATGTTCCTCTATTAGAAGTGTTGTAGGAATCTTTTCCACTCCTCTGATTGTCACTTTTATAGGCTAATTTCATTTTGGGGAATCGGCCCGTTGCAGACTCACTCACTCTGGAGCTACGGATAGTCCTCCAGGGATGTTCTGTGTGATTCCAGCCTCCAGCACACTCATGCAGGAGCAGTAGTGGCGTGGGCTCACTGGGTGTGCGTTGAGCCAGGAATGAGCTGTAAAGTGACTTTTAGCGGAGAAGAAAGACAAGTGTGAGACTCAGTTACTCAGATATAAAGAAAATTAGCTTTTGCTAAGTAGACTCTTTTTCATTTATGAGAAAAGAGAGAAAAAGGTGAAAGGAGGGGGAAAGAAAAAGAGAAGGGAGGAGGGGGAAAGAAGAAGGGAAGGGAGGAGGGGGAAAGGGGAGGAAAGAAGGATTTCATAAATTCCATTCTCTGAATCTATATGCTTGTATTATTTTAGAAATAAATAGTAGATTTTTTTTTTCTTTTTTTTTTGCCATGTGGCTTGCAGACCTCAGTTCCTTGACCAAGAATTGAACCTGGGCCATGGCAGTAAAAGCATGGAACCTAGCCACTGGGCTACTTAGGGAACTCCCAATAGTAGGATTTTAATTCAGTAATAATTACTAGTAACATCTATTGAGCATGACACTCTACTAGATGTTTTATTAACTTGTTTATTTATTTTTTGCATTTTTTAATGTGGATCATTTTTAAAGTCTTTATTGAATTTGTTACAATATTGCTTCTGTTTTAACGTTTTGGTTTTCTGGCTACAAGTAATCTGACGCTCTTAGCTCCCAGACCAGGGACTGAACCTGCAACCCCTCCATTGGAAGATGAAGTTTTAATCACTGGAACACCAGGAAAATCCCTATTAACTTACTTAATACCAATAACAATCTTATGAGGTGGTTTCTGTTATGAGTTCAACTTGACCTAGGAGGAAGCTGAGGCGGGCAATTAGGAAAACACGCTCCCCTACCTGTCCCCTCTTGACCACTCACACAGGACACTTTACCTGGGACACTTCGGGTCACCAAATGTGTGACAATTTTTCCCAATCCAAGCAATATGGTGACACCTGCTGGCTGTCCTATATTTAACTCATTCTAACACTGTGTCCCTGTAAATAATGCCAGATTCCACAGGTTTAAAGCTCAGACCTGCAAGCCCGTCCCCCACCCCGGCACACACTTTCGATGCCAACCACAAGTCCATATTGTCGTCTGTTCTTCTCACCAGCTGCTGAAGGTCAGAGGAGCCCATGGCCCCTCAAGTTCCATTACTTTGATAGAGATGCTCATAGAACTCAGGAAAAGAGTTTGCATACTAGGTTAGTGATTCATTATGAAAGGATTTAGTTTAAAAATACAAATTAACATCTAGATGGAAGAGATGTACAGGGAAAAGTCTATGGCGAGAGGCATAAAGTCTCTATGCATGTGTTCATCCACCCAGAAGCTTCCTGGTCTGGATTTCTGGGATTTGTTATAGAGGTTTCATCACACACGCATGGTCCATCATTAACTCCATCTCCAGCCCCTCTCTGGAGAATGGGGGGTGGAGCTGAAGGTTCCAAGGCTCTCATCACACTTCAGTCTTTCTGGTGACCCACCCTCATCTAGGAGCCCACCCAGAGTCACCTCATTAGAGCAAGAGACACTGCTGTCACCCAGGAAATTCCAAGGGGTTTAGGAGCCCTGGCCAGGACCTGGGGGCAGAAACTAACATATATTTTCTGTTATTCAACAACCTCTTCCCCATCCCCATCCCCCGGTCTCTGGCCATGGACCTCTCACAGCAAAATGATCTACAGCTCACAAGATCCTTCCATGTTGTAAAACCTCATTCGATCATTAATAATAAGTGCAACCCATCATTACATTGCATGAAAACTATCTCCCTGGAGGAGGCCAGTTGGGTTGGCAGGCTTCTGTTTGAGCTTGTCAGGTTCCAGAGAACACAAGTAGTCTCAGCTAACTTCATAATTTGAGACATTTTGTGTCCTTGATCTAAGAGATAGTATCTTCCCTTGCTTTTAGCCTCTTCTGCTGTATTAATGTAGTATTAGATTTCCCTCATTACAAAACCACTTATTCATTCTTCTACCCTTAGCTACTACTCTTTCTACTCTATGCCAAAGTTTTTACGCTTTTGGAAGGGACACTGTGTTCAGCCACCTTGCTGTACTAGTTTGAAGACAGCAATGTGAGTCTGTCAGCTAATTCATAACAGTCCACTCCCATTCAGACAGGGTGAGTTCCCAGAGATGCAGAGCAGGTGGGCCACTTTCACCATCAGACAGTATTACTGCTGTTGCCCAAAATGTGCCCGATGAGGGGGAGGCACATCCCACCCCGCCAGGCCCTTAGAAATTCCGACATAAAGGTTAAAAGACATAGTCACAGTTTCTAAGGGCTTCCTAGGTGGCATTAGTGGTAAAGAATCCACTTGCTAATGTGGGAGACATAAGAGACATGGATTCGATCCCTGGATCAGAAAGGTCCCCTGGAGGAGGAAATGGCAACCCACGCCAGTACTTTTGCCTGGGAAATCCCGGGGACAGGTAATCCTGGCAGGCTATATAGTCCATGGAGTTGCAAAGAGTCAGACACAGCTAAGCATGCCCACATACCACCAGTTCCTTGCTTAGAAGTCATCCCTGTTTCTAGCACTTTTAGCTGCAGCCCTGGTCCTATGGCCACTCCATCAAGTAGGGGGATATCTAAAAGCTGAGGTGATGTGAGCAAGAAAGAAAAGAAAGTACAGTCTTCGTACCAGCAGTCTCTCCTCTTGGCACGAATTGCACCTACACACCAGCATCCTAAGGGTATGAGACCCTCCCAGAGTTAGAAAGCTGGGAGAGCTGAGCCCAGCTCTGGCTTACCTGGTCCTTTCCCAAACAAGTGTGTGAAAGTGAGTGAGAGAATGTGGAAGTTTCTCTGTTCACACTCATGCTAATCTCAGGTGGCCCTGACCTGCAGCAACTTGAAGTGGAGCTTTGGTTTCCAGTCAGATTGAGGTTGGGTCGCGGCAGCGAGAGCACCAAATCCTAACTGCTAGACCAGTGGTCAGTGACAAGGCCCTGGCTGTTCGGTTTTGCAGAAAAAGAGTTCCCACAAAGACAGAAAGTGGTGGAAAAAAGTCAAGTGTTTATTAGGAGGGAAAAAAGAGTACATGTGAGTAGACACACTGGCAGACTCAGAGAGAAAGTTGTGCCCTCGTGATAGTTTAGATCACTTACATGGGACATTTCTTCCATGTTTCCTTTGGCCAATCTTCTTGCTTTTCCTGGTTCTGAGTCTGTATTCGGTTTATCTCAGGATCCTCCCATGTGTGCACATGCATGTCTCAGCCAAGATGGATTCTCTCACAAAGACCTGTGGCTAGTAAGCATCGTTTAGCTGCACTCCCTTTTTGACCTCCAAGGAAGCTTTCTGCGCACCTGTAGTTGGCAGGTCTCCTGACTTCAAAAGTGAGGAACATGTGGTCTGGGCAGGGCCCGGCCTCCTCTCTCAATCGCCCTGCTATTCTTTTTTTGGAGTATCTACCCTGGATGGGGCGGGAGGGGGCGGGGCATCTACCTCCTGGCTCAGTGCCAAAAACTCTCTTTCCAGTCATCAAGGTGCTGAGTCATTGTAAATAGTACTTGTCATGGACAGGGTTTCTTCTTATTCTCTCCTAAGAGGCTTCCTCATCATGAAGTGGTGGTTCTCAGTGTCTATGAGAGAGCCTCTGATCAGGGTGGGTCCCCGAACACAAGTGAGCCAGGAGTCACTGGTACATCCTTGCTGGTGTTGTTACCAAATGCATGTCTGTGTGCTTGTGTTGCACAGTGAGGCCAAACAAATCAAAACACAACAGAGTGGAGCAGAGAAGGGTTTACTGCAGGGCCAAGCAAGGGGAATGGGTGGCTTGTGTTCAGAAACCTGGGACTCTCCAGTGGGTTTCAGCAAAGCATTTGTAAAGGCCAGGTGAGGGAGGGGGACTGCAGGATATGTGATTAGCCCTTGCAGACTTCTCTGATTGGTTGATGGTGCGGTCACAGGGGTTAAGATCATCAATCCTTAGGCTTCTGTAGGTCTAGGGGCTGCATGTTCATGGTCATCAGGAGTTAATTTCTTCCAATTGGTGGTGTTTTTAGCATCCCCAAGACTCAGGAAATATGCATGAGATACTATCATCTGGGCACTTCAGAGAGGAGCTAAAGCAGAGTATATAGGGGAGGGGTCTGCCCCAGGAAGGCCCCTGGGGTCCTTCTCACTTACAGTCTAGGGACAGCCCTCAGGTGGAAGTGGGAAAGCCCCGCGTGGCTGGCAAGGGCCCTAAAACAGGACGTTCTGTCAGATCCCACCCTTTGAAGGCTTGCGGCTTGACATTAACAGTGGAATGAAGCACTAGAAAGCACTGTTTTACGATTGTTTTATAAAAGGGCCTCTGATAGGCAAAGCTCCCTCAGATACTTGATATTGACAAGTCTGAAAAAAGAAGTGTTGGAAAAATACAGACAGTCCCCATGTCAGGGGAGCAACAGTAAGAAAACAGCCAAAAAAGCCCAGTTTCCTCAGAGTAGCAAGTCTGTAGAGTCTGAACAAGAGATGCCAGAGGCATCTTTGAGGAATGTTACAAAAGCCAAATACATACATTGCTATCATCTTTTTAGATTCCACATATGAAGCAGAAACAGACTCAGAATTCAAAAGCAAATTTATGGTTCCCAAAGGGGATAGGTAAGGGGGAAGGATACATTAGGAGATATACACACTACTATATATAAAATAGATTAACAATAGGGACTTACTCTATGGCACAGGGAACTCTATTCAGCATTCTATAATAACCTATACAAGAGAAGAATCTGAAAAAGTGTAGACACATGTACACATACAACTGAGTCACTGTGCTGCACACCTGAGACTAACACTTTTAAAATCAACTATCCTCTAATATAAAAATTAAAAAAATAAATATTACTTGTACATCTCCACGTTAAAAAAGAGCTTCCTGGATAGCTCTATTGGTTAAGAATCCGCCTGCAATGCAGGATAGCCTGGTTTGATTCCTGGGTCGGGAAGATCTGCTGGAGAAAGGGATAAGCTACCCACTCCAGTATTCTTGGGCTTCCCTTGAGGCTCACCTGGTAAAGAATCCATCTGCAATGTGGGAGACCTGGGTTGGATCCCTGGGTTGGGAAGATCCCCTGGAGAAGGGAAAGGCTACCCACTCCAGTATACTGGCCTGGAGAATTCCATATACATGGGGTTACAAAGAGTTGGACACAACCGAGCGACTTTCATCTCACTTCATGTTCAAAAACAAGCAAACAAACAAATAAAAGCCAAGACGTCAGAGAAGAGGACATTTTCTGCTCCTTTGGGGTGGTGGGGTGTGGGAAGGACTTCAAAGTTTCTCCCCACATCCTTGTGCAGCCCCCTTTCTGAGTATCGTAATTGAGATCCACTTGAAAGGACTGATATGAAAGCAGCCTCTTAGACCACAGGGCAGTCTGTGTCTCTGTCTCAGCCTTGTGAGTGAACAAAGTCACCACTTGTCCCACACGGAGCAGAGAGGGCCTTGGGCTGGCTTTGCTATCCATCCAGGCTCTGCTTTCTGCCGCGTGTAAGGGGAGTCTTTAGAACCACACAGCAGGAATCCTTTGTTTGGAGCATGGGGTGGGGAAAGGACTTTGAAAAACCTATTGAAACCCTGAGAGCCGTTGGGGAGAAACTGTTCTTTTTAGACTTCCTCATGGGTTGTAAGGGAAATAAACATGCACAGGAAGTCATTTAGCCTTTCTGTGAACTCCATATTGACATTTGCTCACCAAGAAGTTCATTGTGGTACTTAGGAAATGTATGTGTGTGGGTGTATATACATCTGTGTGTGTGTGTGTTCATGCACAAATAGGTCTACGTGTACGAACATTTCCTAATCCTCCTGGACCACAGTGTTTATGATGTGATGCTAAAAATATTAACAATGGGGGGAAAATAGAACAAAAAAATATAGGTGTGGATACCTTTGGGAGTAGAAACTAGATATAGGTAATGTATTTTTTTTAATATTTATTTTATTTATTATTTATTTGGCAGAGCCTGCTGTTAGTTGCAGCACTCAGGATCTTCAATCTTAATTGTAGCATGTGGGATCTTTAGTTGCATCAACTTAATTGTGGCATGTGGGATCTAGTTCCCTGACCAGGGATCCTGGCCACTGCTTTGAGAACACAGAGACCCAGCCATTGAACTACCAGGGATGTCCCTTAATGCAAGGAGTCTTGAACAGTGTGCTGAATGGGCTTTCTCATATGTGGTTTGTAGCATTTTACATTAATTGCTTGACCTGGAATGTCATTATAATGTGTAATTTTCAGTTCACACTTTGTATTTATATGATTCTTGCTTCATGGTTTGAAGCAACTTTAAAATCTTCAGTGAAGGGTCACTGAATCTCTAAAGTCAACTGGAAATACTGACTTAAAAAGCCAGAGGAGACGAATAATAAATGCATTTTATAGGAGAAAATGAAGGTGCCCTGATGAAAGGAAAGCAGGCCATGCACTCAAAGTAACCATGTGGTTGTAAGAAAGAGAAATTGCCCAGACAAGTGAAGGCAGAGGTGATGTCAGTGGATTCCTGTGAAACACGTGATTGGCATTTTGGCCCAGACAGTCCTTGGTTTCTTGCTCCAACTGGGTCTGGTGGTCACTCAACTCTCCTCCTTTCCACACATCTGCTTCTTTCACTTTGTGTAGTCAGTGAACATTTAATTGCAGTTTCTTCTCAAAATCACCAAAACAGGAAAGGAGGATTTAATATCTGGACCCAGGAATACAGGCTCAGGAGTGCAGCCAGTTTCTGAGGGAATGGCACCAAAAGCTGTGAAGGTCACTCAGACCCGAAACAGTCCTCCCACCTCCCTGAAGCAAGTCTCTCGTCTCTTCTCTCCATCACTCTGTAAACTTTCATCCCCCCAGCCCCGCACACGCTTTCACAGTTGCTTCTCCCACTCTTCCCAGATGGACTTTGACTGGTTTTGTATCCGTACAACCAAACTCCTGTTCTTCCTTCACGTCGCTTAGTTCACCTGCCCGATGGAGATTCACAAGTCACTGGATGGGAATTTCTCATTTCCAGAAGTCTTCTGATTGACCCACATTGGGTCAAGTGACTGCTGGTTCAGTCGGACTCCGGCTGGGGAGGTCACCTGTGATAACCATGTTCATATGCCATGTTCAGGAGGACCTATTGGAAGACCAGCTGGGCTGCCACGCTGCTGAAACACATCTGCTGCAGTCATTATTATAGGCCTCTCTGATCCATTAGTTCATGCAGTATATTCCAGATATTTTAGTAGTATTTGTTATAAAGGACACATTCTCCTTCAGACTAACTTGAGCTGTATTTTAGGTTACTATGGGAATATACCAAAAGTAATTTCAGGGTAAATTTATTGATGGTATTCCTAGAATTAGGAATTCCTAGAATCCTTGCAGTTTCTTCCAGCCGAGAAGCACATTCATTGATGGAGACTGTGCAGCTTTTAAATGTGGGCAGTTTGAGTTGGCTATTGTATCATCATGGTAATTGAACCTTGAGTTAACATGATGATGATGTCACCAACAGGGAAAGATGATGTTATTCCAAAGAGTGGGTCGTGCTCATGCCTGCATCTTATACAGTTTCATGCTCTTTTGGATTGTTGACTGTCTGTATATATTTAAATTAACTTATACCTATGATGGTTTATCTTAATCTCACTTTCAGATGGAGTATGTGGTTCAGACCTAAGCCTTATTCTTTGGAGATGACAAGTTGGGTTAATCACTTAACCAACCCTAATTCTGCATTCTTTGAACTTTTCACCCATAGCTCTGTATCCTTACTAGAAATGTGTCCTTAGGGAAGTTGTCTAACCACTGTATATCCCAGCTTCTTCATCAATAAAATGGGGATAACAACACCTTTGTCACTGGATTGTGCTGAGGTTTTACAGAGACAGTACATCAAAGACACACGACAGCAGGTGTCAATAAACATCGCTATTGTGATCGTTTCCCTTGTACTTCAAATTCTTAGAGATGTGGTTGTAGCAGCTTCCTCTGAGGACCAATCAGATCCCCACAGACCCATCCCCGGCTCATCTCTGATTTCAGCTGCAATTGTGATGGACAGTTTACTCACCAAGCACTGACAGCATCCTATCTGCCTTATTTACCTTATTTATTTTATTTATCTTATTTCCCTGTGTGTCTCTCCACCTTCTGCCCCAGACGCTTCTCTGCTGCCCAGAAAGCTCAGCCTCCTATGCCCAAACACAGCTTGAAGATCCTGGGGGTGCTGACTTCCAGCACAGCACAGAGGCCAGTCCACAAACTCTCCAGCATCTTTCTGTGGGTGATTCTCAGGAGCATTCTGAACCCTTCCCAGTGGTTTCAGCAGAATCCAGTGCCTTTTACTTTACAATATGCATCTCAGCAACACACATTCATGCAGATTTTTTATTCTCATTTTCTGACTCAGTCTCACTTCTTCTTTCCTCCCAATTCTTTATAACCCTCCAAACAAACAAGCAAACAATCCTTGCCTTAGAATATGTTTCAGAGAAAACCCAAACTAAGGCAGTGTAATGGTCAAGTAATTGAGAGCATGGGTTATAGAGTCGCTTGTCTGGATTTTGAATCTCAACCCAACTGCTCAGTAGTTCTGTTACCTTATGTTTTTAACTTACCTTATTTCTTTCTGCCTCAGTTTCCTCACCTA